CCCCAAAACCCCAAAACCCCATTTATTACTGTATAGGTAAATATGATGAGGTAATTAAATAATTGATATCTGAATTAAGTAAGATAAATACATACAGCAATCAAATAAATCTTGTGGACGGCTAGAATTATGGAAACCGTCAACATTGTATTAATTAATTCAATCTCTAAATAGATTGGGGAAGGACTTGTCTTTTTGAGCTTTAGCCTTGGCATATCCCTCGTGGAAGGATGTAGAGGCTTTTCTCTTCTTCTCAATATTATCCTAGATTTTAAGGAATTTACTGAATTCATCATTTTCTTCGTCGTCATCTTGTGGCTTATCTGATTTTTTATTTGACTTTTGATTGGTATCTTGCTGTTTATTTTTCAAGGCATCGCTCTCACTATCACTGCTTAAGCTGTCAAGATCACACTCTGAGTCTTTTTTCACAACTATAATAGGCAATTCCTTTTTCTTATCATTTTTTTTACTTTTGATTCTGATTTCAACTTCTTTTTTAACTGGGGAAGATAGAGTTGATGATTTTAAGCTTGAACTACTACTCTTTTAAGCAGCTTTATGTGGTGTTTCAATGCCAGCACTTTGGTAAGCATCTTCAAGAGAGTAGCTATTGATTGAGGCGCTAATCATCTTTTGAAGTTGAATGCTCTTCTCCTCATCTGAACTGCTGCTCGATTTTCGAGAACTTTAAGGAGATTCATTTTCTGACTTGAATTTAGGCTTTATCTCTGGCTTTAGCTTTGACTTGGTTTTATCTTAATTATCTGTATCTTACTTCTTGCCGTTTACTATCTCTTTAGCAATTATCTTTACTTCTTTCTCATCCTTCTTTTGCTCTTTTTATACTTTTTTTTATTAGTTTTGTTCTTATCTCTTCTTGTCTTATGCTTACTTAACTCTTTACCTATCTTCATTGTCCATCATTTACTATTACAGTTTCTTTTCCTATCTCAGCTTTTTCTTCATTTCCTTCTTTTCCCTTCTTTTCTCTTGCTTTTTGGATTTCTCACCACTTAGGGCTTCTGGGACCTACTTTGATACTTCAACAACAACTTTCTTATCTTCTTTTATGTTTTATTGTGTTAAAGATTTTTTAATTTGAGAACTTTTAGGAGCAATGGGTAGATCTTCATCAGAGGAACTGTCACTGCTTTCCAGCTATTCCTTAAGAACTTGATTTCTCTTTGATAGATCATCACTTAGAGATGATAGGGAGTCTTTGTGAGTAACAGTAACTTTCTATTGCTTCTTTTGGTTATTTAGATGATTGTTGAGCTTTTAGTTTAGTTCCTTATCTAACTGATTAGTATTACTGCTATTTAATTTATCATGAGGTCTCTTTTAACCTACCAATTTATCAGAGTTGTTTTTATCATTATTTGGTTAAGGAGCTGTCACTGTCGTCTTTATTAGCTCAGTCCTAGCCTTAGTTAATTCCTACTTTTATTTCTTATTATCCTAGTGACCATTTTGGTTGTTTGAATGAGTGGAGTAGTCATTATTAATGATAGATTTGTTATTATCTAGATTAAGATTCTTTTTTCCATCTTGAGTCAATTCTGCAAAAATGAATATTTTCATCATATCTGCCAAGCATTCTTCTACAGAGAAGCGGCAGTCTACTTCATAGTTATCTTCGACCATTAGTTTCATGCATTTGATTTTCTCTCGTTGATTATTTTTGCTTGCATAAGTGATCTCTACTTCATCAAGAAAGTTCGAGAGTGGCTCCTTAAGCGACGCTGGCAGCATGAAGTTAAGTTATTTATATGGTTTTTAAGAATATAAAGTTGATTATTAAGTAGACAATGAAGAGGGGCGAAATATTTTTAGATCTACTAAAATTCTGAAAGATTTTCTCTAGAGCAGAGCCGCAATGGACTCCATGCCTAGGGTTGATATCTAAGGTGTACTCATATTTAATATAGTGTTATGGTAAACGAAAATAAGTATTTAAAATTGTTAATTATGTAAAAGTTTATTTTCCTTTTAAATACCTGCCATTCAATCATATTATTTCAGCTATGGGGTTTTGGGGTTTTGGGG